TTTTTAATATTTATTTGTGTGTGTGTGTGTATAAAATAATGTCCTACTTTGTAAAAGATACTAATACTGATTACTATACTATATATCCCTAAGTCATCAAAACTTAATATTTAAGCTATTCAAATATTGATAGATTTGATTTTTTTTTTTTTAACCATAATGCGTATCATTGGTAGTTGTAAAAGGTAAGGTAAGCATCTCTTTGACTTGACCCATCACTGTTTTCTTTATGGAGAATTTTATCTGACCCTGATCTTTGGGATATATTTTGTTACAGTTCAGTTGGTTATTCATGAAAGTACATAGAGCATTTAATAAAGGTACCTATTGCCTTCAAAAGGAGAATATTTACTCTTAAGGTAATTAAAACCATCATAACATGTCTTAGTAATTCATTCAACAAATACTTATTGAATGCTTATATGTCAGATGTCCCTGGGTGGTAGAAATGGTTTACATGCTTACCTTCTAACTGAAAGGTTGGAGGTTTGAGTCTACTAGGGCTGCCTTGGAAGAACAGCCTAGTGATCTACTGGTGAAAAATCAGCCATTGAAAACCCTTTAGAGCATAATTCTGCTCCGACACACATGGGGTCACCATGAGTTGGAATAGACTCGACTGCAAGCGGTTCAGTTATATGTAAGGTATTTTATTAAGGTAATTTGGAAGATCGTGCTCAATCTTTAAAGAGCATTTGCAGCATAGTAATTTGACATATGAGAAACCTTCTATGATATTTATGTTATAAAAATCTGAAATACCTCAAAGAAACCAAACTTAAAAGGTATTTTTTGGGGGAGAAGGGGCCACATAACTCTCATTACATACTATGTCATGTTTACTTTTCAAGTATGTGAATAAGAATAATGTTTTTTATAGTACTTGTAACATGCACTTGACATTCAGTAGCGTATGATTTGGCAAGTAATTGCATATGTATTGAAGCAGTTTTTTTTCCCCAACTGGTCACCAGAATAGAGGTCATTACTGTGTACCTCTTTTCTTTTTTAACTCTTTTTTTCAGCAATGGATCAAGAATCCAACAAAGCTGCATGGCCTAAACCAGCAGGAGGGTATCAGACAATTACAGGCAGGAGATACGGAAGAAGGCATGCGTATGTCAGTTTCAAACCATGTATGACCAGGCATGAAAGAAGTTTAGGTCGGGCTGGTGATGACTATGAAGTGTTGGAACTAGATGATGTTCCAAAGGAAAATTCCTCAGGTATGTAGCATGTAATTGTGTATGGGCTATTAACATGGGTTAATAATAACAACAAGGAAGACAGTTTTGTAAAAATCCATCTTATAATACTTGAAGCTGTGAGTTTCATGTGTGTGTATGGGTGTAAATGAAGTAATTTCCTGTCAAATTTTATTTTGAAAATTTTTTAAATTTATTATTAAGAGCATATACATTTAAATGTAGGAGAAAATAAACTATGGCTAGTCATGAAAATATAACTACACTATCATGTAGTTATTACATTATTATCACATCCTTCAGCAAGAGCAAATCTTTTATCATGCAACCAAACCAAAAAAACCAAACTCACTGCCATCGAGTTGATTCTCACTCATAATGACCCGCTTTGGGTCTTCCTTCCACAGAGTGGCTCGTGGGTTTTAACCTCCAACCTTCTGGTTAGCAGTCAGATCCCTAAGGCACTATGCCACTAGAGCTCCTTTCATGCAACCAAAGAGATGTTTTTAAGAAATTTTGAACTAAATATATTTTTCTATGCCTATTACATTTAAATAGCTTTTGTTTTATTTTGTCTTAATTTTACCACTAAATAATTTAGCTTTGGTATATTGTTTCTTACTGTTTTATAACATATAAGCATCAAATAGTGCTTATTCAGTTAAAATTTTTTAGTTCAGTGGTTTGAAAAAGTATTTTGGGTATCTGTGTACTGTGATTATACATTTTTGACTGAAATGTACGTTTCCTTAAGCAACTTGATATTTTTAGGTTATTTTTACTGTCACTTATATACAAGTATGGGAACTATAGTTATCTATTGGTATCTGTAGGAGCTCTGGTAGCATAGTGCCTAAGGCACTTGACTACTAACCAGAAGGCTGGTGGTTCAAACCCATCAGCCACTCCTTGGAAGGAAGGTTGGGTAATCTACTTCCATACTGATACCGCCTTGGAAACCCAAGGAGGGGTCGCTATGAGTCGGGGCTGACTCGACAGCATATAACAACAACATTGGTATCTGTGGAAGATTGGTTGTAGGACCCCAGTGAATACCAGAATCCACAGACACTCAAGTCCCTTCTATAGAATGGCATAGTATTTGTACATAACCTCTGCACATCCTGCTATATACTTTAAATCATCTCTAGATTACTTGTAATGGCTAATGCAATATAAGTGCTATGTAAATAGCATTTTCCACTTCCTCTTAGCCTTTAAGGAATTGGTTTGACCACTTAATTGCTTCTCCCTCCACCCACTGAATATTTTTGATCTGTGGTTGATTGAATCCGTGGGTGTGGAACCCACAGATACATGAGATCAACTGTACTAGCTTAGGTCATTTTGTTAAAGAAGAATCCTTTTTGCAATATGATGCTGTAGTCTTTGAGTCAACATAAAAGCATAATGGTGTCTCATTTCTCTTAGATATGTAACTCATTGTGAATGTTTCTGTCATGAGTACTTGAAGGTGGTTTTAAAGATTATTAATGGGGCACACTGTTTACCCTGTGACTACATATGCCCCTCATTGTGCAGCCTTTCAGTGTCTTCTCCCTTGCATGTTTTTTGCAGATGGTTTTAGGTATTAGGATTTAGGTGGAAAATCTGCAAAAATATATGAGGGAGAGGATGTTGAGAGTCTATATATAGAATGGCATAAATGTAGTCATAGGGTGGCCAGTCTCCTCTCCCAGTCAAGTTAGGGAACATGGCTACCTGCCAGGGAATTTCATTTGTATTTTCAAGTAAGTAATAATTGATATAATTTCCGTTTAAATGGTTGCTTTTAAATACAATTTTATCTAAATTAATCACTACAAAAGTGTCTTCTTCTGTTCTCTGTGAAGGTTCCAGTCCATTGGATCAAGTTCATTCTTCCTTATCCAGCGAACCTTTATTTAAAAAAAGTGAAACGGAACTCGCCATTTGTGTGACAACACTGAATCAAACCATTGAGAATAGCCCATCCTTTGCTGCAGCACATCATAGTGAGGAAGGCAGGGAGACCTTAGGAAGCAGTACAAATCTTCATAATCACTCTGAGGGAGAGTATGTTCCAGAAGCTTGTAACAGTTCTGGTGTCCAAAATGGAAATACAGTGGTTCATATTGACTTTTATGATGCAGATGCCAAACACGGAGAGGATAATGACCGTCTTCAGCTTTCTACAGAAGTTGTGGAAGGTGGTAGATATCAGGAAGCACTGGGCAATACAGTGTTTGAGTTGGAAAATGGAGAAGTAGAGGCATATACAGGTATTTCACCACCAGTTCCCGCTCTCAACTGTGAAATAAGAGAAGCATTTGAAGAGTTAGATTCAGCACCTTTCGTGAAAAGTTCTACTGGTGATGCTGAATTTGTCCATCAAAACAACCAAGAATTTCGTAGCTCCTCTTCTGAAGATGAGGTTGTTAGAAAGAAACAACAAAATAATACTAGCCAGGAGAGACAGAGTGAAAATTCAACTGAAGATTCAGCTTGGGCATCAGGGCATATTTGTAGCGAACAAAATACTAGTGATAGGAAAAATAACCAGGAAAGGTCTCCTGAACAGGTAGTGAGGCCAAAAGTTAGAAAACTGGTAAGTTCAAGCCAGGTGGACCAAGAAACAGGATTTAATAGGCATGAGGCTAAACAAAGAAGTGTTCAAAGGTGGAAGGAAGCTTTGGAAGTTGAGGAAAGCAGCTCAGATGACCTCTTAATAAAATGTGAAGATTATGATGGAGAACATGACTGTATGTTCTTGGATCCACCTTTTGGTGGAATTATACAAATAGAACCAGAAGATGACCAGACAATACCAGAAAGTGGAGCCACAGCAGGAAGGCAAGAAGTTGCAGATAACACCTTTTGGAATGGCTGTGGAGATTATTACCAACTGTATGACAAAGATGAAGATAGGTAAGATCTCATGCATAGCTTTGTTAGATAGTGTAGGGAACAAAGGTGTTTTTCTCTAGTACCACAGTATTTGATAGGTGCTCTATTTGATATGCTCATAGAATTAGATATTTTGACTTACCAAGTAGTCTTATTTACTGAATGCTAACCATACACTCAAACTGTTGGGTAGAATTTTCCACAATTTTCATTGAGGTTTTTTAGGAGTTTACAGAGCTTATCAGTTTGTATAATGATTACGATTTATTACAGAAAGATAGAGATGCTAGTTATTTCAGTTTGTGGTATTGCAATTAATAAAATGATAGATAAGCATTTATTGTATATAAAAAATATATATATGTTAAGCCAATCTGAGTTTAAAAGTGATTAAGCTCTCAGAAATTTTTGATTGGTAATATTGCATTAAATTTGCCAATATTTATTAATGTCACCTGTTTCTCTCCTTAATTTATTTGTTCTTTTCTATTGCCCTTCCTATCACTAAGCTTGTATTTTACTTATTTTTATTTAGCAGTTAATTCTCATAACAACTTTTTGTGGTAGGTATTATTTTTTCTATTTTTAGATACAGAAACTGAGGTATAGAGAGTTAAGTGACTTCCCAAGGTCACAAAGTTAATAAATGATAGAGCCATAATTGGAATATCTACTTGTAGCCTTACTCCATACTCTGTATTTTTCCCTGCTGTAATGTGTGTTTTCAAGTGAGCATAATTTTTCTTAAAATGAATATTGTGATTTTTTTTAGAAACATAGATTCCTTTTTATTCTAAATCATAGGACAACAGAAAGAGACAAATGGAGGATTTGTCTAGCTACTCCGTTTTCATTACACAAATATTCCAAAGCCCAAGCTTTAACATATCCTTTTAAAGCTAGTTTAACCCTGGCAGTGCTTTTTTTTTTTTTTTTAATGGAAGATGTTATGAAAGAATTAGCATCATTTTATATGAATTCATTGTATATGTTTAATTTATCAGAAAATTAATAGAAATATTTAGTTTTCTTTATACATGAATTCTATTGTAATATACTTATGTGTAACATAGAAAACAATTAAAATAGAGTTTTTACTGTTATCTTAATGTTTACAAAGTTTAAGCGATAGCAGACAATATATAATAAAATAATCTAGTTTGCTTGTTTTTTAAAATTTTATTGTGCTTTGGGTGAAAATTTACATAGCAAATTAGTTACATAAATTGTTACATAACTTTGATTGCAATCCCTGAAATAATATGTCAGTACTCGACCTATTTCCTGCCTGGGTCCCCCGTTTCCATTTGTCGTTTTCCCTGTCCCTCTTAGTCTTATCTTTGGTTTTGAGCAGATGTTGCCCTGTTTATCTCGTATAGTTGATTGTTCTTAGGGGCACATTCTTCACGTTGTTTGTTTTATAGTCTCATCTGTTATTTGACTAGAAGATGGTCTCCAGGAGTATCTTTAGTTTCAAGTTGGAAGGTTTTCTAGTCTTGGGGTTCCGCTAATGTCTTTCCATCTAGTAAGTCTAGTCTTTTGTTTTGTTTTACTTTGGGTTTGAATTTTGTTCTACATTTTTTCCCCCCTATTCTAATCAGGACCATCTGTTGTGGTCTTGGTCAGAATATTCCGTAGTAGTAATCAGGCACTCTAGTTCTTCTGGTCTCAGGTTACAGGAGGCTGTGGTTCATGTGAGCCATTAGTCCTCTGGACTGATTGCTTCCTTGAGTTTTCATTTTCATTTTCATTTGTTCTCCTGTGCTCCAGGTAGGAAGAGACCAATAGTTGATTGTTAGGTGGCCACTCAGAAGCTTGTAAGACCCCAGATACTACTAGACTAGGATGTAGAACATTATGTTTATGAACTGTTTTTTTTGCCAGTTGACCTAGATTACCCCCGAGGCTGTGGTCCTCAGCCTTCATGTCCAGTAGTTCAGTCCTGATGTCTAAGTAGCTTCTTTAACAGTGCCCCCATATGCTCTCTTATATATATGAATATACATGTAGCATTTGAAAATACAGAAATATCCACTACCATAACTACATATGTGTGTGGGTATACTCCTGTATGACTTCCTTCACCTATTTAGTGTACATATTTACCTGTGATACCTGTGTATTTACTTACAAATTACTGTTAGTTGTTGCTGTTACAAGACTGTATGTGTTATTGTATTTACTGAATACAACTGTACATTATTAAATATTTCTACTATCTCTTAAAGTTTATAAACTTTAAGATGACAGTAAAAATTATATTTTAATTATTTTCTATAGTATTTTGTCCTTTATTCTTACATACCTCACATGTCTTCCTTTGTCTTGGTCACATTGTACTGATTTCCCCCATATTGTGTATTGCCTCTCCTTTCACCAGAATGAACTCTTTTCTACTTTATAGTTAGTGCCTCTCTCCCCCTCTTCCTCTTCTTCCTCCTCTCTTCCCTGGTAACCATCAAGAATATTTCTTTCTGTGTGTAGACCTAGAATTGTCTTTTTGTAATAGTGTTCTCATATAGTGTTTGTCCTTTTGTGTTTGACTTATTTCACTCAACATAATGTCGTCCAGATTCATCCATGTTGAGATGTTTCATAGATTCATTGTTATTATTTATTGTTGTACAGTATTCCATTTTATATATATATCACAGTTTGTTTATCCATTCATCTGTTGATGGGCATTTAGGTTGTTTCCATCTTTTTGCTATTGTGACTAATGCTGTAATGAACTAAGTGTGCATATTTCTCTTTGTGTCACTGTTCCTTTTTCTCTAGGATACATACCTGGGAGTGGTATTCCTGGATCGTATGGTATTTCTATTTCTAGCTTTTTAAGGAAGCACAATACCTTCTTCCATAGTGCTTGTACCATTCTGTGGTCCCACCAGCAGTATATAAGAATTCGAGTCTCTCTACAGCCTCACCAGCAATTGTTCTCTGTTTTATTTGTTCAGTTGCATTATTGCTGGGATGAGGTGGTATTGCATTGTAGTATTGATTTGCACCTCTCTAAAGGGAGCTCTGGTAGCATAGTGGCTAAGGCACTTGACTGCTAACCAGAAGGCTGGCGGTTCAAACCCACCAGCCACTCCTCGGAAGGAAGGTTGGGCAATCCTACTTCCGTAGTGATACTGCCTCGGAAACCCAAGGAGGGGTCGCTATGAGTCAGGGCTGACTCGACGGCACATAACAACAACAACAAAGGCTAATGGGAGCTCTGGTAGCGTAGTGCCTAAGGCACTTGACTGCTAACCAGAAGGCTAGCGGTTCAAACCCACCAGCCACTCCTTGGAAGGAAGGTTGGGCAATTTACTTCTGTAGTTGATACTGCCTCTGAAACCCAAGGAAGGGTTGCTATGAGTCAGGTCTGACTCGAGGGCAAAAAGCAACAACAAAGGCTAATGGAAAGAGCCCTGGTAGCACAGTGATTAAAGTGCTTAGCTACTAACTAGAAAGTCGACAGTTCAAACCCACTGGCCACTCTGTGGGAGAAAGATGTGGCAGTCTACTCCTGTAAAGATTACAGCTTTGGAAACCATATGGGGCAGTTCTACTCTGTCCTACAGGGTCACTCGGAGTTGGAATTTAGTCAGCAGCAATTTTTTTTTTTTTCAATAGCTAATGATTGGGAGCATCTTTTCATGTGTTGGTAGCTTCCTGAATATCTTCTTTGGTGAAGTGTCTGTTCATGTCCTTTGCCCATTTTTTAATTGGATTGTCTTTTTACTGTTGAGGTGTTGAAATTTTCTATAAATTTTGGAGATTAAACCCTTGGGTGGATATGTCATAGCCAGAGTCTTTTTTTTCCCTGTCTATAGTTTCTCTTTTTACTCTTTTGGCAAAATCTTTTGATGCACATCAGTAAGGCTGAGTTACCTAATTTATCCTCCACTGTTTTTGCATTATTAGGTATGCTTGGTATTCTGTTTTTGCAGTGCGTAAGTGCCCCTCATGTTGTCCCTATTTTTTCTTCATAATCTTTATAGTTTTTGGTTTTACGTTTAGATCTTTGATCCATTTTGAGTTAGTTTTTTTGTGTGATATGAAGTATGGATCTTGTTTATTCTTCTGCAAATACATATACATGTCGAGTTCTGCCAGCATCATTTGTTAGAGACTTTTTCTTCCCTGTTTAATGGACTTTGACCCTTGGTTGAAAATCAGCTGTCCATAGATAGGTGGAGTTACTTCTGGGTTCTCATTTCTGTTCCATTGATCTGTGTCTGTCATACCAGTACCAAGCTGTTTTGATTACTGTGGCTATGTAGTAGGTTCTGAGATTAGGGAGTATGGGGCCTCCTAACTTGTTCCTCTTCTTCATTGATGCTTTACTTATCTAGAGTCTCTTTCCTTTTCATACAAAGCCAGTGATAAGTTTTTCCATGTCATTAAAGAATGTTGTTAGAATTTGGATCAGAATTGCATTATATTTGTAGATCTCTTTGGGTTGTATTGACATGTAAGGTACTGTTTTTAAGCTAAGGGTGAAGTTAGCTAAGAACTTTTACCTGACTTTCTGTTTTTTCAGTTCAGGTCTGCAGTGCAAAATCCACAATGTTCTGAAGGTAGGAAGAGCAACAAAATCTGACCCGATTGTTAACTTACTTAATAGCAAGCTTGGATCTTGTTTTTGTTACCTGGTGCCACTGTGAGAGGAGTATACCACAAGTGGGATGGCTTGAACAAACAGAAGTTTATTCTCTTACAGTTTTAGAGGCTAGAAATCCCGAGTTCAAAGTGCCAGGCTCTAGGGGCTGGGTGAAAGCCCCTTGACCTTGGGCTTCAGCTCTGTCTTGCTCTTGGCCCACTGAAGTTGGAGGCTTTTCTTCACTCAGGCAGCTGCTGGCTGCTGAGGCTGACAAGCCCAAGGTCGACAAATAAAATGACATGGTCCTGATAGTCCCAAACCACATGGCAGGCCATTGATTGAAGTCCTGAAAAAGGCCCAAGATTGGCAAGGCAACATGGCAGGCTGCTAAACAATGATGTGGCTACATACAGGGTTTAAGTGTACCGTA